CTCCCTCTCTCTCTTCCACCCCCCACCTCCCCCCCGACTCCCCGGTTTTTTTAATTTTAAATCATCCGTCTCTCCGGTTGAGCTCTTGCTGTAGGAGCACCGACCCGACGAGCATCGTTTCTGTCGGTGCAGAGAGGAAAGCTGTAGGTGAAACCACAGGAACCCCCTTTGCCTGACAGGAGCTTTACAAAGGAAGGTCAGTCACCAGGTACCCATTACGCAGGCAAAGGAAGCCGAGACTCATGCCAAGCCTCTGGCAAAGGTGGAAACAAAACCTCGGGCTGTGATCCTGCATTAGCAGCCGTCTGGATCTGCCTGCCTCGAGCTCCTTACAGACGAGCAGCCTGGGACTGGCGAAGAGGTAACTCCCTTTGTGCCTGCTGGTACTGCTGATCCCCCAAACGCCGCTGCCTCTCGCTGCTGCGGGTGCCACCCAGACCTCTCCCGCCGCAGCAGGGCTCGACACCCGGCTACTCCCACTCATGTCTCCAGGACGAGGCAAGAGGTAACTTTTCCTTGGGGATCTCAGTACGAGTCAAGAGCTCCAGCCAGCCTGGCCCTTGTCTCGGGGTGCTGCGGGTGCCTAGGCCGGCAGATGAAAGCAGGCCAGGGAACAAGCCATGCTGACCAGCCGATGGGGCAGAATGGCCATGGCTGCGCTGCGGAGGACGTGATCCCCAGGCTCCTGTGGGCCATCTTGTTTGCCAGGTATCTCCAGTGTTTTGCATGGTTTTTCTCCCTCCCCTGAAAAATGCCTGAAAATACAGGAGAGCTTTCTCACTCCCCATTAGTATTCTGTTTGCGACGTGAAGCTGAGGATACATTTTAAATGTGTCGAGGAGTGCCACGCAGGGCTGGTGGAAGTGATTGAGGGCTCAGAAGTGGGCTGGGGTGGCACTGGAAGAGTACGTACAGCAGAGGGAGCAAAATCTGCTCCCGTCTCATCCCTGCTTCATTTTGAGAGTGATCAACCATCACTAAATCTTGGAAAGAAATGGACCTGCCTCCAGCTGGACCACTGGGGAAGTCCAGGCCAGAGGTGGAGGGCAAACATGCAGATGACAGCAGGCACAATACTTGAACTTATTTCTTGTTCCTCTTTTATTTAGCTGTGGTGACCCTCAGAGTTCAGCTCTAGGCACAAGCCGAAAGCCTCATATTTTACTAAAATGTGTTTCTGGTCGAGGACAAAACTAGAGCTGCTGCAGGAACCGGCTTCACTTCTTGGCATTGCATTCTGCTGTAGCATGCCTCCAGGTCAGTCATATCACCCTCACTTGCCTCAGCTACAGAATGGAGACAGATGTCTGACACAGTCTCTGCTGTGTGAGACTGCACTGATAGTTTCTTCTCCCTTTCTTTCACCCTAGGCTGTCCCATAGGTCTGTGAGATCTGTGTTAACTCCATGTGCATCAAGGCTGGCATGACACAGGAGTTTAAAATATAAACCAAACTAACTCCTTGACAGAAGAAATGGAGGAAGGGGTCATCAGAGATGTCTGCAGGACTCAGCATGTGTGGCCTGGGCATGGCAGTGGTGCTCCCTGGCCCTGTGGCTGGTGGGTGGAGCACAAACAGGGACACAGGAACATCCAAACCTGTGTGTGACATACTTAGGCAAATGCTAAAGCTGTTGGCTTCAAAGCACAGGTTATTCTGCTCGTCTTCAGGGAAAGGTGCTGAACTTGATGGACTGCTTGGACAACAATTCCTGAATGCCTCTCAGGTTCAGTATTGCCAGGGACATTAAAGACTCTCATCCACTTACAATTTGTCCCAAGATAGGAAAATTAATGGGCATGTTTTCACCAACAAGGACTGTTCTGATCTTACATGTTTTTAAATGTTGTTACCAAATAAAGCCACATTTGGTAAATAAAAACCAGCCCCAACAGGTCCCGACCTCGGCCCCTGACTGGCTGTGAAAACATGGTGCATAGACAATGCTGGTGTTCTGTGGGCACATAGAAGGAACAGGGATTTGCCCAACTGGCCACAGCCTTCCTCCCCAGCCCTCACAGGAGCCTCCCCCTGAGTGTCTCTTTTGGAGAGGACTTAGGGCATGTGATTGGAGCTAAGCGGGTACAACCCTGTGCTCTACTTCCCAACTGCTGTGAACAGATGGGGATGCACTCTGGAGATGGCCCAGCTGTGAGCCTACAACTTTCTTTCCATTTTCCCAAAAACTGGGCATCCGTGCAAGGATGTTACACCCCTGGGTACCTGAGCCAAGGCCAGAGCTGTGGTGTGAACATACCTGTCGGGAGCCAGTTGTCAGCAGCGCAGCTGCAACAGCCCTGGGGCAAGGCCCTTCTGCTGGAGACATCGTGGTCTGCTCTCTTGGTGCCTGAGACTGCAGAGGGTGTCTCTGACATTTTGAATCCTGAGAGACTTTCCCACCTCAACAGACTGCCTCGTCTCTTTGTCCACTTTGTGGGAGAATGGCAAAGGAGAAGCACCTTTTAATGCCTCATCTGCAGGTTTTTTCATTTTTCCATCTGCATATTTGGGTCTCCCATAAGCACAGCCCTGGTCTGGGTGCAGGTACGTGGCATGCTCAGCTGTGTCATGGAGTATCACAGCAGCATGCCCAGCTATGTCCAACCTGGCTGCTGGGTGGTGGTGGCAGGCACTAAGCCAGGGAAAGGACGGGTGGCCTTTCTACAGCACTGGGCTGGCACTCAAAGGAGCTCCATTTCTGCTCCACATACGCATATCTTGGTGGTCTTGGCACGTAACTCCTTCAAAAAGGCACATGGTGTTCACTGGTGTGTCTCAGGGATCTGCTGGTAACAACCTGAGCCTATACTTAATGGCAGTGCGAGCAGCAGGAGTTACTGTTTCTTGCTGGAAATGGCGAGAGTGTGGGCTTCTTTTTCTTTTCCCTTAGAAATTATTAAAGATTTTGAAAGTCAAGTTTAAGAAGAAAGGCAGATGAGTTTTAAAACACAGTTTTTGGTCAACATTCCCATTTTAGGGGGGTTGTGTGAGTGGACACAAGATGCCCTTTGGTCTCTCGGAGCCAGAAATGCTACAGTGGTATCACCTCCTCTTCTTTGGTGCCTCTGCCAAAACCTGGCTGTGCCAGGAGCATCCCGGGGCATTGCCAGAGATGCCTGCTGCTAAGATGCAATTTATTCCTCTTTCCCTGAAACCTGGGGGGGATTTGTGGTTCTCAGCTTTCTTGGTTCAATGTTCATCCACTGCATTTATTTCTTTGGAGAGATTGAGCCTAAAACTGTGCTAATAAAAGCCTGTATGGTACATTAAAAACATCATCACCACCACCACCAGCATAACAAAACAAAGAAATCCCCCCTCAAAAAGCAGAAGATAAAGGCTGTAAGCACACAGGGTGAGCATGTCCCCTTCAGTGACAATCTTTCATACCTGTTTGTCTTTACGGTGGAGCTGGAGCTGGAATGAAGAAAGTTGTTAATAAGGATCAGGCCCCAAATCTTTCACATTAATCAAAGCAAAAATTTTTTTTTTAAACACCAAGGGAAGTTTTCCCAGTGAAATACACACAGTTGTTTTCTTTTAAAATGTAAATCAGTGAGGGAATGGACAGTTTAATTAAAAGCAAAATTATTAGGTAAGTGCTGAGGGAATCTACATTATTTGCTGGGTACACTCACATATTTTTACTGGTGACTCAATTGCAATTTTTAATTTCTTTCCACCTAGTAAGACTAGCTCAGAGAGTAGCCACCGTGATGTGGAATATTTGGGGAAGGATTTTTCCATGGATAGCAGGAATGTCAGTTCTGTGTGCGAGTTGTGGATGCCCAGGCAGCCTGTTATGGTATGCCCATTACATCTCTGCTAATCACAGAATATTCTGAGTTGTAAGGGACCCACAAGGATCATCATTAGCGAACACTTGCTACAGGCTGCCTCTGTGGCATCACCTGGAGAAAATCCTGTCCCCTGTGACAGGGATTTTGGGTTGCTGCTAGTGACTGAGGCCTCCAGTGTCACCTATCCCTCCAAACACAAGCCTTTTGCAGGCAGGTGTTTTGTGGAACCCGCCCTACCCCTTCCCTCAAGCCCACGCGTTCCCTCCTCCACATGGCAAACGATCAGACGGATTTCCAAGCACATCAGAAAACAGTGTACTGGGCTGGGACTATGCCTGTTTATTTTGTAAGGTTCTGAGGGAAGGCCCTTATCTTTGAACACACGTGGAAAATAAGCTGCATACTTGAGTGGGGTTGGGGACCGATGGCTCTGTCGCAGCTGAAGTTCAAAACACGACCACAAAAACCTACAGCACAATTATCCAATGCACCAGTAAGTGGGGCTTTATAAGAACTCAGATATTTTTACTCAGTCTGAACATCAGTGGCATACTTAATGCAGCTCATGTGATGTAAATGCCCCTTTCAGGGGGTACAAATGGATTTACAGTGCAGGCATACAGAGGGATGAGACAATTCCCAGTACGAAACCAGATGATGCTGATAAAGCCCCAGTGGCTTCAACAGATGTACCCTGATAGAGGCAGGAGTGTGGCAATGAGAAACAGGACAGATGCTGTAAAACGCTCTAGGTACCATGGAAGGAGGAAAGGTGCGATGCAAGCGCGCAGCCTGGTCAGTGCCCTGGGGAAGGCAGAGATCTGGGTCGCCTCACCCGAGCCTAACACCATGTCTGATCACATTCCTGAGCTTGCTTCCCCATCAGGAGTATCACTGAAATAAATGCCCTAAAAATGATGTGGCCTCTCCGTTTGAGGGGTTAAATACAATTTCCCATTGTTGAGCTTTTGCATTTGGCTCAGGTATTTTTGCAGGATCTTGGATCCCTTTCTTCTTATTATTAATAAAAGAAACTTTGAAATATATTTTAAAGAAAAGTGCTTATCAGATAATGAAATTCTAGCTGTGGTTGTCTTTCAAACAACCAGGGCCATGATTTAATTGGAAGTAATTATAGTCTTTTCTGAAGTATAATTTTTAGGGTATTTTTTCCCCTGACATTTGCAGTGTGGAAATTAAAAATAAAACGATGTCAGAATCACGAGATTTCAATCTGTCTTCAGACAATAATGTGGGCTAGTGTCAGAGGTTTGTCCTTGGCTGGAAGGGAGAAAAACTCACTAAAGAAAATCCTTCTGGTGAAAATCGCCAATAACACCTACTGGTGCATTTGCTTGTGCTGAGAAATTCCTGAGAGACTCCTGTTTCCCAGAGCTCACTGGAAACCCTCCTACCTCTGCTGCAGTGGGAAAGGGCACATCAGTACCTAGCTCCTGAGAGCACCACATTTGTGATGCAAGCTTTGTTAATTATTCCACTGGTAAAGCTGTATTAAAAAGGTACACTTGGAGCAAGGAAAAAAATTCCCATTCTACACAACAAAAAATTAAATGTAGTCATCATATCCTGCTGAAAACAAAGTTATTTCCATAGTTCTTTTCCTGGCCAATTTTTTTTTTTTCAAATTTTTAAACAGAAAATTTTTCAATTTTTTTTCTTTCTAAATTTTACCCTGTTTTCACTTTGCAAATCCTCATCCTCCTTTGGTGAAACCATCCGTGCATCCCCTAAACTTTGACTCACACTCTCTGTCTTACTGAAAGTGCCATTTCCAAGGGAGGCACAGTCTCTGTCTGCATCAGCTCAACCTTTTTAGTGGCCAGTGGCATCAGCAGGGCCTCGTGGGCAGAGCCTGAGCTCCTGTGTGGCTCTGCTGGCACTGGTGACGATGTGATGGCCCCGACACATACGCAGCTCTAAATTCAACTACTCAGTGGACAGGTTGGCTCAGCCTCCTAAATCACATTCTCCAGCCTTCAAATCATTTCTGTAGGGATGTGGATGCACACATGAGGAATCATGTTGCACTCCGAATTCTCTGCTTCTGGATATGAAATTTTATATCTAATGTCCATTTTCAATCCATTCCTGAACATCAGTCAAAGGGAAAGGAAGGGACTATTTCAGATTAAAAGGTCAACACATAAGAAGTTCCACTTAAGGCTGTGATTCACTGTATAAAGTGCTGAAGAGGACTCTGTGAGGGATGCTCAGTTCTGCAAAGTGTGTTGACTTTTTGATGAGGCATTAGGCGAGGTTTCCTATCATTACAGACTCTATGGAGTTGTTAACAATATGATTTAAAAGCCAAATTCCTACTGGCCGGTGCCTGCCTGGCCCACTCATGTACCCCACCTCACTGCTCAGCTTTATTTATTCCATTTCACTCTTCACTTTAAAAATCCCATTGTGTGGCCTTCCCAGTGAAGAGCAGCTATGTTTCATCTCAGACATGCCTTCAGTAACAAGGGAAGGGGTTTGCCTTTACTCTTCAGCCTTTTCAAAGAGAGGCATTTTATTATATGGGAAAAAACATTACACTGACTGAGGTAAAATTTTGGTCAGGCCTTGTAAAACAAACTCAGTGACTTTAAAGTAATAAAACTTTCTGTGGCACTTTGCCAGAGCTGATCTTCTATGCTATACTTCAGTAATAAGTAGGGATGTGCTGACAGAAACCTTGAGGCTTCCAACCTGTGCTCTGTGTAGTGCCTCAAGGGATTTTCTGGAAAGCAACTGCTTTTCCAAAGTTAAACATTTTTATCTCCCTTCCCAAAATGGCCATCAGACCAGTGGTATTTCAGACAAGAAAACGTGTTTACTTCCACGTCTTTCATGCTGTCAACAGAAAATATTTTAAATTGCAGGCAAAGTTTCCAAGAAAGCAGAGATGGAGATTTTCTTTGCTTTAAATTTTGGAGTACCTTCCAGCAGTCCTCCTCCTGTCTTTGCACCACTCCCTTGCTCAGCTGGGAGCCTGGAGATCTGAGCCCACGACTTGACCACGGATCTGTCTGGGGACTCTGTGTTTGGGTACTGTGGGCCAAGGAGTACATTTGGTACACACAGTGCCAGCCACAACACAGCCCTGAGCTTGGCAGGAGCCTTCTGGCCAGGGGTGGAAAACTCTTCTAGTATTTACACTTATTTGGCTATGCAGTGGATATTATCCCTTTTTCCAGCCCAGATCTCTATGAGAGCCAAACCTGGCCATGATGTCCATCACTGTTAATGCTGTACCAATAGCTAAGCTCTTGGTGAAAGTTTGGCATAAAAACATTGTGCCTTGCTGATTAGTCACAACCGGTGACTATCACAGCTTTAAAAATTGTGATCATGGGGTCTTGTCTTGCGACCCTGCTGCCCACCCTTTTCCCTGCAGAGAGAGAGGAATAAATATTTACTACCTCTCAAAATAACACCCAGCCACACTCACCCTTACTGCTGCAGAGTAGTTCATCTAATTGAAATAAGAACATAAGTAAATTGTTTGTCAAGGCAGTTTATTAGAAAAAGATTGCTGTGTCAGGAGCTTCCTCACTGTGAGAGATGCTGTGTTGTCTCTCTTAATATTTAATGTCATTTTAATAATATTCCCCAGTTAGGGGTGCAGGCTGATGCTATACACTAAGCCTGCCAAAGTGGGGAGGAATAAAAGCTTGAGGTCAGCTTAATTCCATTGACTTTTCCACCTGGAGGCTGGGTAAAGAGCAATGCTGCACTTTTTCCAAGGGACTCAGCCACTCCCCGGTACTTCTCTCAGCAGCTTTATCTCAGATTTGTGGATTTTGCCTTTCACTCACTCAGAATGACACTTTAAAAGGTAAGGACCACATCCTGAGGAGGTAGAGATGAGAAACCCACCTTTCTGTCCTCTGACAAACCCATTTCTCTTTGCGATGCTGTCCCCCTTGGGCTCGTTAATCAGGCAGTACCATAAACCACTGAATTTCTCCTATTTGCATTTGCAGTTACAGCACTCTTGCCTCAGTGGCAAGTCTTGTTTTGGAAACCTCTGGGTTAAAGTCAGAAGTGTTTTAGCCCAAAGAGTGGGGATCTGCAGCTTAAGTATCAAAGCCCCCTGCTCGTAAAGCATCTGCCAACGCCGCCTCGGTGTCACCCTCCAGCCCTCACAGACCTGCCTCGCCTGCAAAGCTGCTGCACTGATGGTGCCTCAGTCCCCATGCCATCCCTCCAGACATCTCCTGGCAGCAATGCCCAGCTCAGGCTCTTCCTTGTTGTGAAAGGCTCCTGGCTGAAGGACTGTGGAGTCAGAGCCTTTTGAAGCTGCTGCATAATAAGCTGTATTCTTTACCCAAACATCACTAGACAGTTCAATAATTACATGAACTTTGTAATCAGCCAAACAAGCATAGCCATCTACCTGACGTACACGTAGCACTTGTGAGTAATTTTATATAAATGCCACGTACTTTTGTACTTAGTGCACAGGCCTTGTGCACAAACAGCTATAGAAGGAGGGCCCAATTATAAATAAACTGTCCTTAGTTGTCACTTTGCTGTCTCTGACTTCCCACGCATTCAAATTGTGAGACTGATTCATTTAATCTTACTCTAAAGCAGCAAGCCACAGAGTCAGTTTCCTGACAGTTGTTCTAAAAAGTGTAGCTGAGCTCTCTTAAATTGTCTTCCCTTGTATTATATTTAGACATTGTGATTAGAGTATCTGTCATGATATGCTTTTACTTTAAGGCAGAAGTTCAAGCCGCTTTCTGAAAGCAGAGATGCTCCTGGGAGCCGAAGGGGCACGAGTGCTGGGGTTCAGCATTTGGGAGCAGAGATCTTCAGCACTGCTTGTGCTGCTGGCTCCCCTGCACAGCCAACCTCATGAAAACCTGAGTTTTCAAGTAAGTGCAACGTTACTTACCATAATGAGACTACAGGGAAGGATGGAGGCAGCGAAATACTTAGCGGCTGTTTCCAAGGGTTTTAGAAATTTCAGCTGAGCAATTCTTACAATCCTCTCTTCTCCCTTCCTTCCCTCTTCTCCCCCCCAGATCTTGTCAGAGGCTTGGATGCAAGATCTGGACATTCCTGTCATATGAGCATGGCTTTTATATGTTTGTGTCATTGCAAAGCAGATTATAATGACTACACTTCATGCATTTTACCCTAATTAAGTCAGCGGAGGTTTCAACGCAGATACAAACTTGACATGCAGCTCTGCCCTTGACAATTGCCTACCAAAGAGAATACCTGAAAGCTCTTGTTTTGCTAAATATGCTATTTAATATTTTGTAATGCTTGGGTAAATGCAGTCAGTGAATGTAGAGTCTTCTATGTTTCTATAGTATTGTGGAGGAGGTTATTTGAGTTACGCTCAAGGAGGTTTCCTTGTTCCATCACTTGCTTTGCCAGAGCACTTGTCAGATACTGAGCTGCAGGTTCCAGCCCTGCTGACCACCATTTGTGATGAGGAGATCCACAGACTCCAGCAGACCCTCAGCCACTGCTCTGATGGCAGGAGCTCTCCAGCAGCCTGGTAAATGTGACCAGGATCTGACAGGCAAGACAAAGTGAAAGACCCGCTGGGCTCTGCGGCACAGGCGGGGACGGGAAGGGCTCTGTGTAGAGGGGGGATGTAGAGAGCAGATGCCACGCCTCTGTTGTGTTTTGTTAACCTGAAATGAATAGAGCTGTGGAATTTAACACACTGAATTGAAAGGTGAGTTTCTCCCATGTGCTGTGTGTAGGATGCCTGTCTTCCTCTAGCTGATCTACAGAGATTTGTAAATCTATTATTGCTTCCACACACCCTCATAGAAACTTGTGCTTTAGGTTTAGCATGCAGAAAACTTTAGGTCCTTGGTCCACATTCATGTGTTTGTCCAAATGTGATTGGATTACCATTCCTTTAAGACTGGTCATATTCCTTTTCCTCAGATAAAACTGTCATGCTACAAGTTTTCCACCATCCCTGTGTCTCTAGAGAGAATCTTGGAGACTTGAAGGTGACTTTTCTGAAAAATGGTCTCAATAAAATTCCAAAAATACTTTATAATTTGGAGCCTGCTCCTCAACCTCCAGCAGAGATCAAAGAGATCCCAGAAAAAATATTAAGCACCATGCATTCCTGGGAGCTGAGCCTTTGGCTGTAATGAATCAATCAACTACCCTTTTATCAGCCAGATATAAACTGACTTAGGGAATTTTGGAGCCAAAGGCTACTGGTACAAGGCTGATGGTTTAGGCTTTGTTTTCATTAAAATGTTTGACTCCAAAGGAAGGTCTTTGTTTTCAAAAAGTGTTTTTAACATCTTCCTGTTATTTTCACCCTCAAGCTTGCTCAGCCAGTTGGGTTTGAAAATCTTGTTCTTGCTTCCTAGTGGCAAGACTGTGTGTTGATGGTAGGTATGGGGTGCCAATTACTATCTGTCATTGGTATTTATGGGGTTCCAACTGCTACGGTACTGTGGTGCCAGGTACAATATTGAGATAAGCAGGGAAGTTATTGAATGTGGACTCTGCTCTTCCCACCTGAGTGCTTGGCCCCTTCGACTTGGAGACTTTGTCCTCTCTCCCATGCTCAGATGTGGGGCACCCGAGAAAAAGTGAGGTTTGTGTTTGCTGCCGAGCAGCCCCGGCCCCTGAGCCCAGCCAGGCTGTACCTGGTACCCGTGGCTCCATCTCGGATCACATCCTGCTTCCATCCCTGATGCTGGCATGTGAGCCAAGGCACTGGCACTGGCACCGGCGGCACCGGGAGCAGAACCCACAGAGCCTGTGGCCTGCACACCAGCTGCTGCTGAACTCTTTTCCACAGAATGTTTTCCAAAATCCAGCAAACTGTGTCAACTGGGAGAGCTGAAAGCAACTGAGGTGCTGCTTCCCAGGCTGTGCAGGGTCGCAGAGGTGTCCCAGTCAGACAGCACGGAAAGCTTTGATCTCTCTGGAGAAAGAAACTGCCATGATGCAGAGGGCTGCTGGAGCCTGGCTGGCATGAATGGGAAGAATTTCTTCCAGCTACAGGTACTAAAGGGACATTTTGCTTCTCAGACAAACTCAACCCTTTGACCAGCTTGACCAAGGCTGTGGCCAGAGAGTCAGTCTTAGCCTGATTCTGAGAAAAACGCATGCCTGGAACTCCATTTCTACCACTACAGAGAAATTAATATGAACCCACAAGAAAGTGGAGAGGAAATGAAAAAATGCAGGTCATGGTAGCAGCTAGTTCTTAAGTGGGACAGGCATAAATTTCTTTAATGTGGATATAGAAGGGGATGTATTTTGTTCTATTTTTACTTGATTGTGGGAGGCTAAAGGGAAATTTTCTCATAACCTCAAGAAAGAAGTGTTCAAAACTAGTTTTTAAAATGTGAAAATTTAAACAAAAAATTAGAAAGGAAATTGTGATGAAGGATCTATGTAAAATTTTTTTCCCCTTCTTTTTGATCAGCTCTGATGGTACTAACTGATGCCCAAGGAGAAAGCTTGATGATTTAGAGATGAAGAAGAAAGGAATTGCACCCTTGGTAAGCCCTGCCTGTGGGACAGGAACCCCGGGACATACTGAAAATGTTTAAATAAGGAATGTGCCATGAACCAGCATTTATCTCCTGCTTACCCTTACATCTATTTCCTTACCCTCAAATTTTCAGGAATGAAAAGCTGTAAGGATCAGTAATTACGCTGAGACTTTTCCTTTATGTATCACTGCTCACTCAAGAATTTCAGGCCATTACACAAATAGCAGTGACGTGCTTGTCAGGGGCCCTTTGAAGCACAAAGTGCCCTTGCTGCCAGTTTGTTTTCCTCGGAGGAGGAGCGGCGGCAGAGGGAGATGAAGGGATGGAGGCTGCAATGCTGGGATGCCCTCCCCTTCCTCGCCCTCCCAAGTCGCTCGTGCCCCTCTTGCTTTACCCCCATGGGGGTTTCTGGCCTCACAACTCACCTGAGGCCAGGTTCTTTAGGGATGATAGGGCATTTCCAGATGCTTAGGTGTGCCTGGCAAACAGGGAATGGGCACCCAGTGTTCAGCACCCAGAGCCAAGGAAGCCAGTGATCCTACCCCCTGATTGCTGAGAGCTGCTCCGTGACGCCAGAAGGTTCACAGAGAGCAAGCAGGGCTGGAGTCAGCTTACACTGACTCCCAAGGACCAGGCAGCAGCTTCCCAGGGAAAAAAAAAACAACAAAACATGCCCACGTAAATAAAGAGGGAAATAATTATATATGAGTAATTAACTGAGCAGAAGTAAAAATGGGAAGCTGAAAGACTGAAAGAAAAGAGAAGTGCGTGAGATTTTTTGTAGATGCAGAGGCTTGCATTTTACATCTAAAGAAACAGAGGAAGAAATTTAAATGCGTATTTAGAAAAAAAAAATAAAAATCCAGTGGGAAATGTGGAAAGAACCACTTTTATGAGGAAGCCTCTGAAGAGACAAAGCTATAAATGCACAGTTCCAAATATCAACCATTTCTTTTTCAACATTGCAAAACCCCCAAATAATTCATACTGTACAGAGTTAAAGCAAATTTTTGGAAAAGCACCTGGGAACAATGCTGGGAATTGCCCACCCACTGTATGATTTTTGCTCTTGTCACTGGGCAGTATAAGTGAAGTGCTATTCACTCCAAGAAACATTGCATTCCTTTCTTCTCACCATTATCTTACTTATAGAGGGGTGTATTTATAGAAACCTTCTCAAAGACCAGAGGTGCACTGCCATCAGTCTTCCAGCACCGTCCACTCAGTGCTCAGTGGGAGGATAAAGACTCCTGTTCAGGGAAACACCCTTTCCCATAGAATCATAGAATGCTTTGTGTTGGAAGGCACCTTTAAATGTCATCTGCTTCAACTCCCCTTCCACAGACAGGGACATTTTCATCTAGATCAGGTTGCTCAGAGCCCTGTCTGACCTAACCTTGAATATTTCCAGGAATGGGGCCTCTGTCACCTCTCCGGGCAACCTGTGCAAGTGTTTCACCACCTCCATTGTAAAAAATTTCTTCTGTTTATCAAGTCTGAATCTACACTCTTATCATTTAAAACCCTTGCTCCTTGTCCTCTTTCTGTTGTCCCTACTAAAAAGTCAGTCTCCATCATTCTTGTAAGCCCTCTTCAGGTACTGGAAGGCCACTAGAAAGAATCCTAGGAGCCCTCCCTTATCCAGTTGAACAACCCAACTCTCTCAGCCTTTCCTTATGGAAAAGGTGCTCCAGCCCTCTAACCATCTTCAGATTAAGCAAAAAATGGCTTATCAGGGAGGCAGGATTTCACTTGGAAAGCTCCAGACTGAAAAACCAGTCTTTAACTTTATTTGAAAGACAAGATGGAAAACAAATCTAAATATGCTTTCTTTGCTCAGCCACCACAAGGTACCTTGTGTAACTTCCTGTCATGTTTCTGGCTGAGAGAACATTCAGTGGGCAATTTTTCACCATATTAAAGTCACCACTATCAAACTCATTCTGGATCCAAAAGAGCCAAATAAATTTGATTGTACTTGTAGAAATGTATATTGGGCAATGATAAAGAACCTAGGCCAGCTGCTGCTCACTTAGCTCTTATGTAGGCAACATTTACATGGATTGCAATGGGGATGGCTAAATGAGGGCTGGATGGGGTAATTGCACTGAGCTGGTGTTGGAGGGGCTGGTGCTTGGAGACCTAATGACATTCCTCAGCCTGGGATAATTCAGAATCCCCAGAGACAGGGCAGCCAGGTACCTGCTGCCTTTGTTTCCATTCCCATTAGGAGATAACTAGAGTTACACTGTATGGAAAAGATTCAGGCAATGTGATTAAAAAAAAAAAAAAGGAAATAAAGTTCCTTTATGATTCCTCTATGATTTTGTGGCTCTTAGAGCATGCTGGGTGGTGGAACTGGAAATGTGGAAACACAGAACACAGACTTTATTAGCTTGACAGACTAGAAACAGTGGTGAGTTTTAGCACTCCATCACTGTTACTGGCCTTTGGTGAGAGTGTCTTTGGCCAGTGCTATTTCCAGGGAGGATTTCTCTGCCCCTATGTATATCCTGCCTGTTGGGCACATGAGAGCTGTGCTATTTAGCCCTTCTTCCCCTTGTTTATGTTCCTCATTCCCACACAATCCATAGGCAATGTTGTATAGTGCTATGCCCCTCCCCCAAACTTTCCCTGTTTCAATCGGTGTCACCACAAAGGAATAGATTATTACTGACACTGATCCCAATTTAATCCTTCCAATAATCTGATCTTTCCAAGCCTATTTATATCCTTGAAATGACAGTAGGGTTTAAAGTGAGACAAATACCTGAGCCTAAGTGCTGGCACTATCCACAGCAGTCTGGTCCAGTTTTGACCCTTCAGAATAAAGTGTAACCCCAAATATTATTTGATAAATCCCTTCCCAAGTGTTTGTAGTGCTAGTCTGGTCCTGGGTTCCTCTTTTTGACCAGCTTTTTCACATTACAGGTTTATTCTCCTATACAGTAGTATCAAGCTGAAGTCCCAAAATAAGTTTTAAAACTCATAAAAATGTAGAATTTCTTTTCCCTTTGTGGATTTTAATAGCTTTCTGGTGTCTGGAAATGATCTAGAAGTAAAGCTTTCATAGCAGCGTAAGAAGTAGAAACCCATTCTAGTTTGTTATTTCATCCAGCAACCTGAGAACTTTTTTTATTTTCCTGGGCTATAAGGTGATCAGACAATGTTTTCTTCCATTCCCAATCTCCTTAAGAAGCTTATTAATGCTTTACATTGAAAATAAAGACAGACCAATCTGAAAACAAAGCCATCCTTAGCGCTGAATATTGTAAATGTGCTTGCTGGACCATTTCCACTATTAGTAACAAATTCATTTTAATATTGCTCCTGCTTCTTGCTAGATCTGCAGAACCTCAGTTCACACATAGCCAAGGAGTAGTTCAACCAGCAGTCAGCAGGTTTTTGGTTTTTTTTTCCCCACTTTTATAATTCAGTGCAGTGACTTGTTTATATAACCAAATCCTTTAGTTTCTCCAAAAGGGACTTGGCTATTCCACTTGAGCGACAACACCCGTGGAAGGTGATGGTATATTTTTTCCAAAGCAAAGGCCTCAGTTTCCAGCAGAATTTGCAACCCAGTAATAAATATTTAAAGGAGTTATAATGGAACTGAAACAAAGAGTGCACACACACACACACACACACACGTACACACATGTGTACAGACACACACACAAAGACATGCACACTCACAGTCAATTAGTCTGAGGTCATTCTGGTGCAGATGGTGCCTCTGTTCAAACCCTGAGATATTTTGTTTTTTCTGTCAGGAAACTTGGCCACCTCAGAATTTTAATACCCCATAAAAAAACATATAAAAAAATTATTCTTTACTGTCTATGTAGCAGATCACTCGAACATCCATGTCAAAGGCATTTTCTTCAAGAAAATCTCCTTCTGCCCCTAAAAGAGTGTAATAAAGAGTACAATCCATGCTGATTTCTTGGTATTCTTTCTCAGGTATGAACTTTAGGATTTTCAATCATCTCTATTTTATTCTATAACAGACTAAAATAAATTACACCAGAATGGCAGTTTTGGAACATATGAGAACTACACAACTACCATTTGGCTTCAAATGTATAGATTATTATAAAGCAAATGAGACACTGATGTACTTTTCCATTTACAAAGCTTGGATTTTCCCCTATGGGCATAACACTAGGTGATATCTTAATTAATGATGGTGAAGACCATATATGTGACATAAACAAAAGAGCTGCATTTTAACAATAATAAAAAAGAGAAGAACAAAATATTACAACTCTTGTGAGAAAGAATGAACTGATTCCAAAAAGTAGAATAATGAAAACTGAAAGGCAAAAGAAGGGAGAATGTGACGTAGATATTGGAGCTACCTGCAAATGTCTCCCTTTACCAACCAGAAGGTATGTATTTTATTTTATTTTATTTTATTTTATTTTATTTTATTTTATTTTATTTTATTTTATTTTATTTTATTTTATTTTATTTTATTTTATTTTATTTTATTTTATTTTATTTTATTTTATTTTATTTTATTTTATTTTATTTTCTGTATCCTTGTCTCTTCAAGTGCAACGAATGATGACCTACCAGCAGCACTACCTCTGTATTAAACTGCCTGATTAAAATTCTCACTGAACACTGCCCACCCATCAGAGCCTGCTTGTCCTTTCTTAAGCCAGTGCACGTGCAATATTTGCAAAATGACACATGGATCACACACTTTGTGTGTGTTTACTATATATATATATGTATGTATGTAATGTATGTATGTATATAACATTATCTGTGGAAAAAACAGGCATTGAGTCTTAAGTGTAAGTGCACAGAAGGGCAGCTTTGCCATGAGGAGGCCTGCTACCTGCAGAGGAATTACCTGTACAGAACTGACCCTCTGACACAGCACGCTGAGCTGCACTCTGACAGGTCCTCTTCAAACTGGCAGATGAAAATGCAGTGCCCAGTGGTCTTTTTGTTGTCACACCTGAGTGATCCACATCTGCAAGGATCTTGGGATGGGGACAATACACTGATGGGTCCTTATCAAGGGAAGACCATGATTATCTCTGGCTTTAAAAGCCTCAAACACATAGGATGTGTGGGAGCTGCAGAAGGACCTGTGTCTCACAATCTGACCAAAAAAGCAAATTAAAAGAATGAAGAAATGGATGCTGGGGGTAAGGGGAATTGGTTGTGGAGAGGGGCTCTAAGGGGAGGTGGAGGGTTACAATGGGGTATTATCCATTCATTCCTGTGTCCAGGGCTAAGCTGGAAGACAGTACTTCTCCATTTCCACCCTATCTGTATTTTTTCACCTTTGGAATCTGGTTATTCTTAGCTCACTGGGTTTAATTTGCTGACCTGACATGAACATATCCATCTTTCATGTTGATCCTGGCTTAAACTCAGCAGAAACACAAGAGTGAAAAATAACCCTTCTGTCAGCTAGAGACAATGACACTGAACCAGTTCAGGAGAAATGGAAGGTGGCCACAGGTATGTAGAAGGTCTCTGTCTACTCACAGTAATCCACAGGTTAAGAGCAAAAGAGCAGGTGTTTGTGGACATGTGAGCATGGACATCCAGACACCAGTGGAGAAGTAGAGATAGATGCTTTCATACTCATCAGCCCTCATTGCTGTATTCAGCTCTTCATCGGGAGAGACCTTTGGGATGGATCCGCTGGCAAGGAGAAGGGAGCGAGAAAGCTCCTGCAGGAAAGGAGAGCCGGTCTAGTCCAGGAGAAGCTCCTGGGAGAGGGGCAAGCGTGGACAGAGGCAGGAAGGCCTCCCACTCCTGTCGCTCACCATTCCCGTGCCAGCCCTGCTCCATCTGCTGGCAAGAACAATGCGGAGCCGCTGCCGCCTGCCCGCCGGGATCCAGCCCCTCCTGTCCTCCTCCCCAGCCCATTTCATCGGCCACAAGTGCCGAGGGACAGAAGAGCAGAGCCTCCCCCACACACAGGAGGGAGAACAACACTTATTTTTGGATCCCTGCTTTCCCATAGGCTTCCCCTCTATTTTAGCCTCCAAGATGTCATTAAAGTTACAAATTAAGTACTGAGCATGCAGTGTATTTACTATCTGATCTGCTGGCTGGGAAGTTTATTCCCCTGATCACCTGTGGTCAGTCAAACCCAATGGAAATATCCTGCAAGGCCCCTGAGGTTGCACATTGGGATGCTGATGGGAATGGAGAGAGGTGGAAGTACCAGCTGCTGCCTCAGCCAAGTGCCCAGGAAACCAGGGTGCAGATGTGAAAGGTGTTCAGGGGAAATGTGAATCCTTTGCCTCTTTCCTTTGCTGCTCGGTGCTTTGCAAGGGTATTGTTTTGGCTCTGCCTCCGTTTTTCCCTTGGCTACTACGTGTTTAAGAGAACAGGCTGAGGAAAGCTCTGATATTTTCAAAATGTGAAAGCAACATGCAAAGCTTTTGCCATGTATGAGCCTGCATGGCATTGTGAATTTGACTCACTCTTCTCTCCACATGGAGATGCAGGGTGTTCACAGCTCCCTTATGAAAGGGTTTTTCAGCTCTAGCACCATGGGTATTAAATGTTTTTTATTCTTGTCCTACCTTCTGCTTTTGGGAAATCATCTGCACCTGGAATTTGTGTCTCTCTTCCATAAGGGAAAAGAAGCATGTTCATCCTGCTGTGGTCCTTGTATATGGCAAGTCTTCCAGCTCTGGGTTACAGGTGAATGGGGTGGGCTGAGCTTCCCCACATCAGTTAGGTCCTCAGGGAGGGAAGAAGGGCAGCCAGCGTCAGACCAGTGTTTACAGAAAGTTTAGTCTCCAATGGATTTCCCTATTCCAGTGAAACAATAGGAGGGTCTTGTGCTGTATTATCCATGCGTCCTCTTTATTCTGATATTATCTGTGAATTCTTGCAAATAATAGATGACAGAGACCATTATTGTTTTGGGAAGTAGGAAGATAAAAACATTAGATGGACCTTAGCAGTTTCAATAGACTTATTCACCGTGTTTGTAGCCATGCAAATCAGAAACTAGCAAAATACCTGTTGGAATAAGTAATAACCCTGTGCATTCACTGAAGCAGTTCTTTTACATCTCGTTTTTAACAAGAGACTGCCTCTGTCAAACAAGTGCTAGAGTTCAAAACAAAAAGGGAAAGCAAACATAACTCCACTCTTAATGCCATAAGATTTTTGGGAAGCAATCCATTTCAGCTCTTTCATGTATCTGCATTAATACAGGAATTTAATATAAATTGCATGATGGTGATTAATAAATCTTCTATTAATTGAACTTGAAGTAAAAAGAACATATTTTTTCTTTTTTTCTTTTTCTTTTCTAAACCTGTATTAAAATAGATTATTCAGAACTCTTGGAATGAAAAGTGCTAGGTCAAAACTCACATTTTTCTAGCAAATCTATGAAAACTTACTATAAAAAGTCACATACTGTAGAATCTCAATTGTCCTGGAAGGCATATCCGGGTTATGACTTAAGTGTGCTATTCATGTGCTGCCAATTTGTTCTAGAAGTACAAGATGAGCTCTAGTACCTTGCAAAGCAGCTAAACCCTTCCCTGTGCAAGACGGAATCCAGGAGCCATTCAGTGGATTGATTTGGGTACAGAACTCCTGCAGCTTCCCTTCAGTCCCATGCAGAGCTGGGCTGTGTCTCAGAGCTGGAAGACACAGAGCAATGTGGGTCTTCTGAAGTTCTGGCAGGACTCAGTATCTGCCTCTACATCATGTGCTCCTCATCTGGGAAGTCTTCCTCATTCAGAAACCTTGCCCTGCAACCGCACAGAGATGGTCGTGGTGTGGTCCTGCTTAGAAGCTGAGAAATCTTTATGGATACCACCTGTCTGGACACTAAAAACTCCTGCATCACCCATGTATTATTATTTCTTGTTACTTAGGACCTTCCCTTCTCCTCTTCTTCACCTCAAGTAAAGGGGACCTGTTGATTTATTCATGGGTCTAATACCTCCTGGTCCTGGTAGAACTTCTCTGGCTCATTGTACATTAACATTGTTGATATTTTTTTATGCATATGCAATTAATAAAAATTGGGCAAAGCATTAAAGCTTTTGCTATATTCTGGTCAGATTATGAATTTTTTTGTTCTCTGTGAAGTATTGTTAAAATTTGCTACCCACAAGGATTAACTGCTAAGAGCAGATTTTACTCTGAAAGGAGAACTTTCTCTTGTTTGCACAGCCTTGTGTTAGAAAAACAAACATTCACTGTTAGGCAAATAGGGCCATGCTCCCAAAGGGTTTTTTTGTGAGTCTCATGGCATTTAGTGATCCTATTGATCTCCCAAATTCAGGGCAACAGTGACTGTGTGAGAAACTTCACCCCCAGTTTTCAGAAGAAATGCCTAGCTTTTAGGGAACAAATGCCTAAATGAACACTTCAACACAAGGTAAAAACAGAATATGCAACTTAGGCTCACCTTGCATCAGTCCATCAAAGGTAGCTTGTGAACTGAAAGCCTGAATAGGGCAAACTAATTCAGAATAAAGCAGTGTTAGTGTGAAATGCTTGTCCAGAACAGGAAAGGGGAGTTACGCAAGAGAAGCAACTCTGCAGCAACACCCAATGTGGATAAGCCCTTAATTACTTTTAAAATCTCATCATTAGTAAGCCATGCTTATAATTTCTAGAGGCCTTGAGTTTCTGGAACAACTGGAGTATGAGATTCAATTGCATGCACTTCAGTGGAGGATACAGTTAAGTATCGGCACGTTTGCAGACTTGAGGCCAGTCATTAACTAATTAGTGTATGGGAACATTTAAGTTTTTCCCATCTGATTTTGCAAAGCTATTCAGCAACACTTGCTTATGAGCTTTCACTTTTCACTTTTTCCCTTTCCCCTTCACTACAAACCAAAAAAACCCCACCAGAAGCAGAAAGACAATTGGAAGTACGCTAACTTCCCATTTCCCCCTTGCTGGAGATAAAAATATTTGCTGAGTTTTGTGCTTTTTTATTTGTAATGCAGACATACATACAAAGACTTTTTATAAAAGAAACGTATTAAAGGTCTCAGAGTGTTAGCTTCGTTTGCGGCCATGCAAAGCCTCCTTTCCCAGCCAAGAGCACGTCGGCCGGAGCGGCTGGGGGTGATGGTGGAACTACAACCCCCAGAGGGCATAGCGGGGGGCAGCCCAGGGGGACAGGGCAGGGAGGCGCGGGGACTCCTGGGAGTTGTAGTCCCGCGGCCCTGCCTGGCAGCTGTCCCAGCACCTGTCTGTTCTGAGGGAGGCGGCGATGGCTCCGCGCCCCACTGCTGCCCTCAGGCTGCTGCAGGGCAGCTGCGGCTGGCACCCCAACCAGGAACCGCTGCAGGAGGCATGGGAGACCTCTGAAGGTAAGGATCTCCTGGGGTTTTCTGTGTAAATCCTGATAGGGTCCATCCTAGTCCTCCTTGCCCCGTGCTTGTGGCTGGGAAGCTTTGCCATGGCGTTCCTGTGGCTCATCCTTGGGCACAGTGGTCGCAGTTTGGCTTGGCTGGCAGCGCTGTCTGCAGTGTCGGCGTGTGGGGTCGGGGAGAGGTGCCATTCTCCCCCGCAGCCGTGGTTAGATGTGTTGGCTCCTTCAGGTAAAGCTTAGTGGGACAGATAATCAGTCAGTCTTAGAAAAAGTGAGGGTAGGAATCCCACTCCCCTAGAGGGCCTGTAAATCTTTCTCTAGTCAATAATGGTCTTTATAGCATCCAGCTTTTTGTTGAATTTAAGCTTGCTTTTTAAATATTTTTTTTTTCCTTTTAAGTTGACTTTCTAGGTCTTAGTAGAGAGAAATTGACAAATACACATTTTGCATATGTGGCTGCAATAGACTCTGCCTGTGTACATTTCCTTCTTCCAGTGTATCTGCTGTTTGCTCAACTGGAGGTAACTCCAAGTTTAAGGCTGTTCAGACCACTACAGTGAAAATCCTTGGGAATGCTTCTGTTTTACCCTGCTGCTTAATAAAACAGAGCAGTGGTCAGATAGCAGAGGGAGAAGAAATGGTTTTGTGTGCTTCCTGGGTAAGGTAAAACTCTTCAAACCGTTTGGCTGTGATCCTCTGGCAAGCAGGCACCTGGGAAACTATTCCAGCCTTGCTGTGGGTCCTTACACCCGAGTGTAAATTTGCCACATAGCTGTGGTAAATACCTTACAAAAGGACAGATTGCAGACCTCCCAGGGCTGAGTGTACATGAGATAGTAATGCCCTGTGCATAGAGACTTGGTTGAATGACACAATTATATCCTTGTGGTCCTTTCCTACAAATAATTTACTTATTATTCTGAAGACCATAGATTTGTTGTATGCATTACTTATGGTCAGGGTCACTGGTTCTCAGGTACTGCTTCTGGGGTGAAGAAGCAGGCAATGGGCAGGCTGAAAATTGTGGGAGTAGAATGGGAGTTTTTAGCTAAGGCTACTGGTGCAAGACCCTATCTATTAAAAAAAAAAGGTGGAAGTGAAGACAGGAGACCCTCCTAGTAAAGGTGTCACCCAAGAGAAGATGTGAAAGGCACTTCTCAGTTCTGCTGGGAATTTCGTTGCCCTTTGCTGCTGGTCTCTGCAGAGGCTGCCAAATGCTGAGCTGAACAGGTCTGGACAAGGAGGCAATTCCCTTCCTGTTGAGAGGCTTGGCAGCTCTGGGTCAGTGTGAGGCACGGTTTTGGGTGTGTGGGGTTTGCACACCATGGCATCAGAACTGCTGTCATACGGAAGGGCAGAAACAGAAAACAGAAAAGCTGGCGCCCTTCATGAATCAAACATGCAGAAAGGTTAAACAAAGTGCCCTCAGATCTGAAATGAGGATGATATAGCTAGTGTTAGAGGTGTTGTTAAGAAGTTCTAAACCTTCTACCAATTAATCAATTTTTGTAAAAATCCCAGTAGCTGTAATAGGGAGGTCTTATGGGCTGCTTTCCAGGTGAAGTTTTTCATGTATCTCATAGGCCTATTATTGGCACTGCTGATATATTTGTAATAGAAAATAACTTATGAGCACATCTGAATTGGAATAAAAAATAATTTGTAGGGGCATCTCAATCTAAAAGACTTCCTTACACATTCAAAAAACTTTATTAAATCTAAACAGCACTAATATGAAAAACAGGGATCATACCTGCGTGCAGCCTTGCTGAGCTTTGAGTGCTTGTCTGTAAATGGACAGTACATATGGCAAGTTAAGCCAGGGTGTCAGAACTCCTGCAAGAATGTCTCCGGGGAAGTGTGATGGCTGGGGATGCCACTGAAACCCTGGGGCAGGGCGGGTGACCAAGGTGGAAGATGGTGATGGAGGCACGAAGCCCTGTGCAGGCAGCAGCAGTGGTGGGAGCCTCTGCCCCCTCCCTCCTGGTACTGAAGGAGGGATGGACCTCCCTACTCTATCTTTCCCCATCTGACAGTCAGGCTGCAATATTTAACACAGGCATGGATTTCCCTGTTTGCCCAACATCAGCACTCCTCCCAAACGGCAATTGTGTTGGTTTTGTTTTCCTTTCCTCATACACACCAGAAATCACACAGCGTGGTATGGCTAATGGGATTATATTGACCCACCTCTGCAGTTGCTATTAATATCTGAAGAAACCTCCAAATATAACAGTGGTAGTACAGTTGTCTGTGCATCTTTCTCTTGCCAGACAGAACAGGGTTTTTTTACATTAGCAGATCCAGTAATTACCAGTCCAAATTTTGCTTCTTGGTACTGTTAAGAAGATAGGGACCAGATTATATACAGAAGAGAATATATGCAGAATATCTGTTTTTGAATGGGTAGCAAGCTGATTTACAATATCCTTTAAACAGCATCCAAACAGCCAAGTCTTCTTTCAAAACAAAGAAGGCTGAAGGGGTTTGAGGGGGCTCATGTCTTTCTCTAGCTGACCACAGGAACATAACCCACCCTTTTCTAAAAAAACTGCATTCAAAATTCAGCCTTGCTGCACAGGCTACTAAATTTCAATTGCTGGGTTTATGTCATCATTGCAGTTGCAGTAACTCTGTAAAACACAAGATGAAAGGTTGCTCTTTCCACTCTGAGCTCTTTCCATCCTCCACCTTTACAGCAAAGGTTACCCTGAGTGCGTCTGTCTGTTGTAAGTGTAGAAATACGTATTATTCATAACTTGCCAAAGTGTACGCTGGAAAAGCTGAATTTATAGCTGTATTTCCTCTCTGCTGGGGTTTTTAGAGTTGTGTGTTTCAGCATTTCCATTATAAACCCCTGTTTTCTGAGGTTTATAACAGTCTTGAAGAGTGGAGTGGTCTTGAACCATAATAGAAAGCGTGTAATGTTGCATTTACAGTACAGCTGTAACTGCACATTAAGGAGTGTAATCTTCTCTGTGTACCCTCACTGCTTCAATAAGGTTCATTGGAGTTACACATACTGAGTGAAAAACAATATTTTATGTTTGGAGTTGGTGTTCTCCATCCACAGAGCTGAGTGCATCACACGAGGACAGAGAGCATCTACCTGCACCAGACTTTCAAAAATTCTTTGCTACACCTGTAAAATACTCACATGCATCTGTGGGGGCCCCTCTGAATTACAGCTCATCATACCCTCCCGTTGTCCCTGGGAATTCCTGAGCTGCCACAGACAGAGCTGGGGCTCCTGAGGAGAAAGTTCCCCATACCCTGAAAAGGATACATATTCCCTTTTTGTACTAGCCCAGCTACAATATGAGGCTGAACTTACCTGCCACTTGGTGGAAGGCATCAGAAGGTAGGAAAGAAGCTGGACACTGTAAACTTTAGGCTCAGATCCCAACTACAGTACACTTTGAGAGATGAAGTTAAAAGGAGTGTCAGCGGGGTTGAAATCTTGTTTGAGGCTAAGTTTTTCTTGCTGTTTCAACTCAAAACATCAGGTTATTTAGTCTTCCACTTAACCTCTCTTCCCTCAGCTAATAGGTCATCTTCTTGGGCTCTTGCCCTTTTACAAGTGTTGCTAGCCTCAAGCATTCAGAAATCACAGATTTACTCTCAGATCCATGAGACTTCAGGAAAAACATGTATTTTTTTAATTGAGAAATTAAAATAGTTTAATTAGTATTTTAGCCCTGATCCTTTGAGTTTCACAGCTTCTGAGCACTTTTTTCCTCTCTTTGAGCTTGACAATCCTTGCCCCCAGTAAAACTGGTATTTATCACAATTGCACAAATGAACAATCAGTGCTGTAGCAAAATACTCAACTAAACCAAGAATTCAGAAAGAGCTTGAGATTTGGAAGTGTTGGTTTTGCAATTGCGTAATTTTTTTCCCCCACTTTTTTTCACCCTCCTCACCGGTTATGAATGCCACTGTTGCAACTTACCTGCTGAGAATGAGATAGCTGAAGGGATTCCTGATTTGCTGAATTAGTGTACAAGTGGTCAGCAGAAAGGTCTGCAGCAAAAAAGCCCAATGAATGGGAAAGCACAAAAGGCTGAACCAGAGTAAATCTGCTCCTATGTTGCATGTGCTTCTCTGCCACATGTAAGGGGGCTACAGCTTGCATGTTAGTTATCTTTCATATGGTAAGAAGCCCTTTGGGAATATTTGGCATGATCTACCAAGAATTATTCATCATGTGATGCGTACATTTAGGAAAAAAATACACTCTGTATAGGGGCATGAGTGAAAATAGGGCATTTTCAAGGTACTTTATGTTGTCCCTGCTTTTGCCCTGTAGTGTGAAGGTTTGATGTGTCTTCCTCCCCCAGCTTTGTGTGTTCCAGCACCCCACACATTATGTGTTCTTACTGTCATCTGAGAATATTCATCATGGTTGTTCACAGTGCAGTTATTGTCATTTGGAAATGCTTGTCATGGAGAACATTTTCAAAGGCACGAGAGGCAACAGGGCAACAGCTTCACCTGCCACATCTGCAGGAGTCAGAGCAGCATTACCAAACCCTGCACATGCTGATCTCCAGGACAGTGTCCTGTGAAGGGATGTTTCTGCATCTTAAGAAGTGGTTCTATAGATGCCACTAAAGAATTGCTGAAGAACTGGTACTTAGTGATTTCTTCTGCTGTCAGTTTGAGTTTCTTTGCAGTTGTGTTGCATTTCTACATGTGGATGTAAGCTAAGAGCTTCTGGGCTTCTTGAGGTATGAGAACCATTGCAGTGGCAATAGTATTAGTCTGACTTGCTTCATTGCCACCTTTATTTTTCCTTTTTGCCTGTTTACTGCTTTTTCTGTGCAGAGACTTGTGGTGGTAGTGCCTGAGATGCAGTACCTGTTCTGGTTTTGGCATGTTTGTGTCATCTAATACATTGCACATTCATTTGCTCTCTTTCTGTCTTATCCATCTCAGAGGGAGAACTGCATCTAAACCCTCTGGTTTTAGACAGAGATAAGGCATAAAGGGACAGCT